AATTATATGGAGCCACTCCTTAGGGTATTTATTGAGGGAGTCAAAACCTTTTAAAGATTTAGTCCCGATCCTATATGCTTCTGGATGTTCACTCTTCGCTTAGTGGAGCTTTAATACACTTCAGTCTTGAGCGCTCAGCGGCATAATAATACTAATCAGCTAAATACCCGTACGTAACGGTAAATAACAAGGGAAATCCAAATAATCATCGAGTCCAGCCGACCGGCCAACAGACCAACAAGAGATCCATATGAAAGTTGTTCAGTGAACAAAAGCGGATGGAAGGAAAATAGTAAATAGTGTCATCAAATTGACTACAATGGACATGAAAACAAAGTGCAACAACAAGAGATGAGCAACATCGTATTATTATAACGAAACAATGCAACAATGGAGGGACAAAAGGAAACCAAAAGTTGGAAAAAACCATAAACAAAGGTGCTCAGCAACTAAAACAATGCCAAGCGACTGACAACAATGACGCCAGCAGTCGCACTCGCATCGGTGAATGTCTGAATGGCTGAATGGGCGAGTGAGTGAATGAAGAATGAACAATAAAAAAGAAACTCACGCACACACCCACATACACACATACACACAGAAGAGTGTAATTTTTTTGTGTTTCGTAGAATGCAACAAAGCCAGCGTAGTGACGGCGCATCAGTGACAACGGAAACGGAAATACGCAACAGACTGAAAAATCACATTTCTTCTGGTATTTAATAAAGTAGCCGAGCAGCAGCGAATACAGGCGCCTAGCGGTAAACTAGCTGGCAGACACATACCCAGACACAACGACCGCCATACCAACGGCATGCCATGCCAGAGTAAGCAGTTGGCCAGCGGCAGTTGTTGCTGCCAACGGCCGAATGGCTGAATGTCTGTTTGGTTGAGTGGTTGGGATGGTTGGGATGGTTGGCTGAAGGCAACCGGAAAACGGATGGTTGACACGCAACTCTTTAGTTGTTAAGCCCCAATAGTGTGCAAATAACAACAAACGGAATGAAATTATCAACAAAAGCCTGCACTGAGTCCGCTGCCAATGGACAAACTCATAGCAGGTGTAAGTGGTGTGTCGCTGGGAGTTTATGTAGTTGTGTTTGTGTGGGTGAGTTGCTTCTGGCGTTGACTTTTGTTTTATTGTCATTTGCCATTTGCGTGCAACACCTGTGCGAATTTATGAAATACACAAAAACAACAACAATAACAGTAACAATAACAATAACAATAAATTGTAGAACAATAGTTGCGAGCAGCATAAAATGTGTAGGTGAGAGGCAGAGTTGCAAGTACTTGATTGTGGTTATTTGTCGATGAATTGTTGTTGGAAGGCACAGCAAACAAAAAAAAGTGAATATAAATAAATACGAGTACATAAAACAAACACAAAGAGAAAGGAATTGATAAGGATTTAGTTTGAACTTTGAAAGCAACAGCAGGAAATCTTCCGCTGATTGCTCTTAAGGATCGTTAATAACTATTTAAATATCGATTTGTGTATGCACAATACATACCTATGTGTATGTGACTAGATATTCCATGAACAACTAAGCTACTCTGCAAGTTTTCTTCGATTGTGATTTGTGAAATGAACCTACTTTTGAAAGAGTCGCCACCAGTCTAGAAAGTCATGTATATAAATTAATTAGAAGGTGTTCCGGTGGCGTAGTGGAGCAACTCCGAAATACTCGCTTTAAGGGTTTGCTGAAGTCTAGTTGAAGCGTCTGCTCAGCAGAGGTGCGGCTGCGAGCGAGTGTTGATCTTGTACCGAGCGACTCGCTGTATAAAGAGTGATCTATTTCGAGGTTCCCCACTTTTTTTAAAGAGAAAAAAAACATACACACAAAATTAAAATTTAATGGGAAATGCTTATAATCATTCGAAAGATCATTTTTTGGCGTTCAATTTTTGAAGTTGATCTCTTTCAAACGTTGGCCGCGGCCTCAGATGGTCCCTCCGTTGAGTCCAATTTTCGATAACTCATTCGAGCATTTACTCCAAGGCCTGCATCGGAGCGGAACTATCCTCATAGAATTTAGACTTTACATATTCCCACAGGAAAAAGTCTTACGGTATGATATCGCATGATCTTTATGGCATATCGACCGGCCCAAATCGTGAAATTATCTGCTTGCCGAAGTCTTCTCTCAATAAATCCATTGGTTGAAGCGAAATGTCACGAACTTCAATTTCAGTCAACAAATTGGTAGTTTTCATGACGCGATAACGGTCGCCATTGACTGTTACGTTCACAGCGGCATCATTTTTGAAGAAATATGGACCGATGAGTCCACCGGCCCACAGACAAGACCAAGCCTCCGGTTTTTATGGATGAAATGGCACCTCTTGAATATCTTCAGATTGCTCTTCGAACCAAACGAGGCAGTTTTACTTATATAAATACCCATTGAGCCGGAAATGGGCCTCGTCGCTGAAACAAAGTTGGCTCGAAACGTCAGATCTTCTTGGAACCTTTCCAGAGCCCATAGAGCGAAGCGGTGTCACTTGAGAATATCTAACTTCAGTTATTGTACAAGCACTATTTTATACAGCTTTCATTTAAGATCTCTACAGAAAATGCACCAAGTCGTTCCATACGTCAGTCTGAGCTGCTGCGAACGGTGACGAATCGACTCTCCGCAGCCTTCGTGTACACTCTCAGCTACGACCGCTATATTTTCTTCGTTGCGTGTTGGGCGTGCTCTTAATATTCGGTCGGTAAGCAGATTATTCTTTACAGCACGTGAATTTTATTAATAAAGTTAAGGGATTTGTAGACGTTGTTCAGGCGTAAGTTTTTTCATGATGAAACGCCCAGCAATACTGAACAAAAATAAATAAAAATAAAGAAATATAAAGAAAAAAGTACTTGGTTCACCCGATTCATGAGTGCAAAATTTAAACCTGCTGACCTAACGAGGTTGTGCGCTGGGCTTGGAATCCTCCAAATAGTAATCAGCTTCAATGAAAAATTTATCAGCATCTCGGACGGGAAGAAGAAGGTGATGGGTGACAGGAAGAGGACGGAGATGACTACATTTTTATGACATTTACTACAGCAATCACTTAATGAAGGCTCATTTTGTGTCGGATTCGTGGTGTGGGAGAGATTCTCCCGCCTAGTACTGGCATTCATCTCAGTGGATGAACTTCTCCCCACAAATCGCTTCAATACAAAATATTTTAACATATCGCGCTGCCCTTGCAGCGCTGTTAAATTTATGCTTAGCGAATAAATTGCGAGCGTAGTCAAAGAAGGTACAACTGATTGATGATTCAGCCTTTATGACGAGACATCCCTAGTGGGTAGAAGCTGATTGACTTCGTCGTTTCTAGTTATCTTGACGAGAACCCAACAACTTCTCGGAATGTGCACAAAGAACGTCAGAAAGTTCGACGTGAAAAAGTTGTAAACGCAATAGACTACGGAACGGGTTTTACTAAGGAGAATATTTCTTCGTTCCTTTTTCGTTGGAAAAATGCATTACTTTTTAACCGCGAGCTCCACCTCCAATTTATGGTCTTGATACTTTTCCAACAAATGAATCTATAGTTTATACTAAGCCGTCTCCGAACGGCTGATGGTTGTTTTTATGAGGAGCTATACATCATGACAGAAATACACTCGAAGAAGGAGGCATTCCCTGTCGAGGCTCGACTGCAGTTAAAAAATTTAACTTAATTATTTATTTAAATTAATTTTCTATAACTTTTTGGACGTTGGTACGACACCAAGATTTGAACCCGAGCCTTCGGAATGGCAGTACGCTTACCACCCGGCTACCCTGGCAGCTATATATATATATATATATATATGGCGACTGGTAAACGCCTTTTGTAACGTCCAAACCGATTTTCCAGCTAATGAAGAGACAGAGACCACAATTTAGTCTCAGCTGCAGCCCAACGGCCGCTGAATTTCTATAAGAAGCTTTCATTTCGCAATCGGATGGCTCGACATTCCCTACCGAGGAGCGGCCGCAATTAGAAAACTTAATTGCCCATTATTTTGGATGTTGGTGAAAACAGGGCTCGAGCCCCGAACTACAGAATAGCAGTACGCAACGCTAACCACCCGGCTGGGACCGGCGATATCTCCTGGTTATTAGTACTGATTTAATGTTTAATATAAACGTGTAAGTTCTTCAGAAGGGTGCACAAATTGAAAAGGGGTTTTAGTTGTTGACCAGATCAGCGCTATTATCCAAGAAGCTACGGTACACAGCCGTGATCATTATTATAGACTTATTAGTCTAGATAGAGTGATGATCAATGGCGCTAATAAAAAAGTAAGTTGGTTTCGACCTCAAGCTCGCAGACAAAAGCTAATCACTAAAGTTCTCAATAATTTAAATTTATTTGTTGCACCAAAAAAAAATTCCAAAAATTAAAATTTTAACCAAAAAAAATAAAATAAAAAATGATTTTATTTAAAAATATACATCTGAAAGATGTTACCAAGCAACAGAGCGAAGTTCATTAATTTTATCATTTGATTTTTATGACAATGCCAAGTTTCATGAAGGGTAGTTAAGGTGTTTTAAGGCTGAGAAGACGCTGTAAAAAGGTAAACACTTTTAAAATGAGCATTCAATCAAATCAGAATGGTTTTTCATATACATACGTACATATTTTATATACAAGTTATAAATAATATTAAGTATTCTATAAATTACAGATTGTTTTTTTTTCGCGCTGGCGACTTTTGTCATTTCAAGATAAATTGTCATAGCGAAATTGTTATTTTCTGTCAAATTAACATTTATCATACCAAATGTTTCTATTTCTGTATGTAGATAAGCATGTATGTTTGTATGTTGTTTTACAAAAACAAACGAGAAACACTGTTCAATATCTTATCTCAACTAAACTGTCAAAGTGTTCACTGCTAAGGCCAACAGCAGTGCGCAACACAAATACAAACACACCCATACACACACCTAATCACACACACATGCGCATGCAACTTACACGTACTTGCCTCGCATTGTCATTTGTCAGTTTGTTTCGGTCAAACGCGTGACTCGGACTAATGAAAATAGTAGACGCTAAATGGCAAATGCCAGACGATAAACAGAGCAGCAACGCGCCGCAACATGACAACACAAACGGGTGATAATTTCCATTCAAATCAGAAAATGTTCGCACCAACGACACCGGTTTGACGCGCACGTACCTATCGGTATGTCGGTGTGTAACAGACGCTCGCTACCGATTTGGTGTTGTGCAAATGCTGGTGAAATACAAAAACAAAATATCGAAAAGTTAAAAAACAGAATACCAAACAACGTTGAATAAACCACTGGCAAAATCAAAAATAAACAATAAATAAATAAATATTAGCAATAAAAAATAGTAATGATAAATAAAAGGCGAACTATAAAATTGATCAGCGATCGCTGAGGGGAGTCCATTGGCAGGAGAAATGAAATCAGTTGCTGAATTGCGATAACATTGGCAGGTGGCCGATCGGCAGCGCGGCGAGTTAGTTGTCAGTGTATATTCTGTAATATATTATTATTAATAAATTATTAAATTTTTCGCGCTTTGAGCCTATGTCGAGTCTGTGAAAATGTGCGCGTGATGAAGGTGAAGATTCGACGCTGGCCACGCCTATTGGTCATACTCCCGCTATTGCTGATCACTGCCTTCTTCACCACACTGCAGTATATTGAGTATGAGTATGCGAATTTGCAAGCTGAACACTACGGGCACACGCAGGTGCATATATAAAAACAATAAAAATAAAATAAAATAAAATAAAACAAAATAAAAATAAAATAAAATAGAATAAAATAAAATAAAATAAAATAAGTGAAATAAAAT